GCGCTCTTCGCCACGGTCCGGGGCCTCATATGCAGCTCTGTGGCTGGCTGGAGGTAGACCGAGTGGCCGTCGGCATCATTTAGCCGTCAAGCTGCGCTATGTGTGTGGCGGGGTATCATAACCACGTCAGAAAATAATCACCACGTCAGGTAGGATTGTCATTAATTCAGCCGAGCATCTGCATAAGAGTAACATTCAAGGGGTATTGGAAGCCTCCTGCGATCAGACTAATGCTATAGTCATGGTATCATGGCACTTATTGCAATTGCGAGCCTTGCTTCTGGTTGCCTCATACGTAACTTTCAAGGATATATTAGTCAATTGGCCACTTGCTATAGGTCCTTTAACGAGGCTACCGATTCATTTTCTCATGCAAGTCGTTTGCGGACCAATTTAATGAGGGATGCCAAGAACCAGCTTGTCTTTGTGTGGCTTGTGAATGCGTTTTCTAAAGTATGTCAAGACCCTCGATTACGGGAATCATTTTGCCACAGCAATTAGATATCATATCATGGGTCATTTAAATACGAATGCTTGGATGTGTCAATACCTCGGATGCTCGGGATCGACTACTGCAAGTCTTCGTTATAAGTTTGAGCTCGTATGGCCTATTCATGCGCATCTCAAAACATGTCGAGTCTCCAAGCAGTAGAAATGACTATGTCATAGCTGTTGAATTATAGATTGATATCATGCCAATCCATCATCTTGCATGTATCAAGCCTTGGTAGTCATTGACGATTGTAAGCAGTCCGTCATTGTCATGAGCTTATGCAGCATTGACATGCGCATCTTTGCATGTTGAATCCTCGGCAACATAGAATTTCGACACTGTTTCATCACTCTGACAAGCATCTTGGCCTATTGCCTCATCCTTCAGCCGGTATCTCTTATGCATGACTTCATACGCTCAGAGGCAATCACGAAGCAACCCAGGTAATGTTTACTTTGCGGCATCGCACCAGCAACCTCAATCCCGAGTTCTCTTTCGAAGCCAAACTACCAGAGTCTATCGAAGAAATTCAATTCTTTGCTCTCTTTTCAGGTCTCATGGAGACTCGGACTGGACGCCTGTGATGGGCCACATCACCTAGACAAAGTCCAAACATCTGAACGTGGCCATCACCTAGCTGAACTTGGGTCAGACTCTCCAGCAAAATTTCTCCCTACAAACTTCTCAGCGACCGGCACAAGTGCCATTGGGTACGCCCTATACTTCTATCCGTACTGCTTTAAAGAAAGATGATGGTTCATGAAGCTGCGTCAACGAGCAAAAAGAAGTAGGCAGTCGCTGATTTGCATTTTCAATCACACAGTGAACTGTAAATTATTTTTTCCATTTGTTTTCATTTACTTTTTATCATTGATGTTCCATATATATATTCCTATATACATCGTGTCCTACTAACTATCATGTCTAGCAGGCCATAAGGAGCTATATTTATCGATCATTCATGTCTCAGCTAGCTTCCCAGCAAGTGACACTCGCAACAGTGTCTATTTTTTAGTAATCTAGCCAGTGAATAGGAAGAAAATAGCACGTCCTTGCCATTCTAAATACTGCACTTAACAGAGGCGTTGACCTCGACGGCGACGGGCCAGTCTATTCGCTGCTGAAGCGGGCGATGATGTCGGTGAGGCAAGCGGAGAGCCTTATCGCTACCACATTTCCGCCACAGTGCCATGGCGCAATGTCGGTGCTCTCGAAGACGTTGTTTGTGAGGACGATTTCTGGTCCATCGACAGCCACCGAGCACAAGGCCTCATCATCAAGTGAGCCATGTATAATTCGGTCTACCAAACTGAGCGTTGCTCTGATGCGGCGTCTCGCAACTTTGGCCTCTTCAACCACGCGTTTTGTTGGCTTATACTTGGTAACCACAAAATCATTTGTTCTCCTATTTTTTTGCCTGCCTTTGCCTATTTGCTTTTTTCTTTCATTTTTCTAATTTCTTTTTTTCGCGTACAGCAAGCCATGTATCAAACCAATATCTGTTCCAAAACGTCATCCGCCCAGCTCTTCATCAACTGACTCGTCCCTTGTGACACGCCTGAAGTGATCCGCGGCTGAAATGAGACAAGGCTCAGCGCACTTGTCCCATTGTGTTGCAAGCTAAATTAGCATACCGTTATCATGGCAATCCTGATAGGCCGATATGACTGGGAGGCAGCCTGAAATAGTCCGTGGCGCTTCCCGCATGACCCCACCACACTCTACATCTGTGCCTGCTGCCACTTTTCCGATTCACCCAAAAAAAAACCCCCCGACTTATTTACATCCTCCGTCCTCGCGGCTCTCCCTCGGACCACCGGCATTCTTTCCAGCTTCGTCTGCTGCAAAGATGGTGCGTATTTTTTCTGCAAGAAATTTTCCCATGCTCTTGAGGCTTCAACCGTGAGCGCCTGCTAACCACACTTGCCCACTGCCAGACTTCCGAACAGACCCCCCTCCTCGATGAGCACGCCGGCTCCGACAGCGGCCTCCGCCGCCGCGACGCCCACGCCAAGGCCCAGCGCTCCAAGATCCGCGAAGCTGCCATCTTTGCCTGGGCGCTCATTGCCACGGCTGCCTTCATCATCGTCGCCGTCTGGGTACAGCACCGGGAGCAGACGCGGCCACCCGTGCCCGCGCCCGCCGCCAAGCGCAACCTCGTCTTCATGGTCTCGGACGGCATGGGCCCGGCCTCGCTGGCACTGACCCGCGGCTACCGCCAACATGTCGAGCGCCTAGACCACGGCAACGTTCTTGCGCTCGACCGCCACTTTTGGGGCACCAGCCGCACGCAGTCGTCCAACTCGCTCGTCACCGACAGCGCCGCCGGCGCCACGGCGTTTTCCTGCGCGCAAAAGAGCTACAACGGCGCCATCTCGGTGCTGCCCGACGGCCGGCCCTGCGGATCTGTCCTCGAAGCCGCCAAGCGCGCGGGCTACGCGACGGGGCTCGTCGCCACCACGTACGTGACCGACGCGACGCCCGCCTGCTTTGCCGCGCACGTGCCGCACCGCGAGATGATGGACGAAATTGCCCTGCAGGAAGTCGGACGGGGCTCGCTGGGCCGCAGCGCCGATCTCATCCTCGGCGGCGGCCGCTGCTACTTTTTGCCCAACTCGTCCGAGGGCGGCTGCCGCCAGGACGACGTTGACGTGACCAAGATTGCGCGCGAGGAGCACGGCTGGACCTATGTCGACTCGCGGACCGGCTTCGACGCCCTCGCCGGTGGCGAAAAGGTCACGCTGCCGCTGCTCGGCCTCATGGCACCGGCCAACGTCCCGTTTGAGCTCGACCGCCGCAACCTCAACGACACGTACCCCAGCCTGCGGGAGATGGCGACGACGGCGCTGCGCGCGCTCGCCCGCGCCACGGAAAAGAGCGACAAGGGCTTCTTCGTCATGATTGAGGGCAGCCGCATCGACCACGCCGGGCACATCAACGACCCGGCCGCGCAGGTCCACGAGGTGCTCGCCTACGACGCCGCCTTCCAGGCCGTTCTCGACTTTATCCGCTCCTCCGACACCGAGACCGTGCTCGTCGCCACGTCGGACCACGAGACTGGCGGCCTCGCCACCGCCCTGCAGCGGCCCGACGAAAAGGAGCCCACGTATGCCTGGTACCCCGCGGTGCTGGACCGCGCCACCGCCTCCTGCGAGCACCTCGCCGGCAAGCTCAAAACGCTACGCAGCGGTGACGACGGCAGCAGCAGCAGCAGCAGCAGCAAGACGACGCTTCGCAATTACATCAAGGACGAGCTCGTTGTTCAAGGGCTCGGCATCCCGGCCGACGACGTGTCCGACGCCGAAATCGACAGCCTCGTCGCGGCCGCCGACGACACCGAGCGCGTCAAGACCATCTTGACGCAGCTCATCTCGCATCGCGCGCACATTGGCTGGAGCACCCACGGCCACACCGCCGTCGACGTCAACATTTACTCGTCGGGAGGGCCCGGAACCGAGGCCCTCCGCGGCAACGTGGAGAACACAGAGGTGGGCGACTTTCTCCGGCGGTACCTCGACGTCGACGTGGATGCCGTCACCGAGGAGTTGCAGGCGGGGAGCCGCCGCAGCGACGAGATTGCCGGTATCATGAAGGAGAGGGGAAGCTTTGATGAGTATCACGGTCGTTTAGAAAACTGATGGATATGATTGAGCTTGAGAGGGTTTACAATCACGGCGTTTACCATACATACCAGTTTCGGCGCGTAGATTCCTTTTTTTTTTTTTTTTGCATGTTTCTACATTGGTCATTAGATTGTCTTTTTCAGAATAGGCGACCAGCTAGATTTTTAGAATATTGCATAGCAATTGCAGAGAAGAATATATTACTTAGAAAACTACTTCATTGTGTGGCTAGCATAGGATCAAAAGCAGACGCTCAAAAGACACCGAAATACACTCTGGAACAAACGCCGCCTCTAGTGTAATCAAAACCCAAGCACCAGACACCAAAGAAGAATCTCGCACACAAAGGACACCAAGCAGTCGATCTTTAAATACCCGTGTCCTTGGCATCCAAATCGTATCGCACATACAGCTTATCCAGGAAATGCGAATGCCGGATACCATTCGGCTTGGCCTTCTTAAACAGCGCAATCGCGTCCTGGACCGAAACGCCACAGCGCTCCACGAGGTAGCACACGACAAAGTAGCCGGTGCGATTGTACCCGTAATGGCAGTGAACGCCGACAACGACCTTCTTCTGCCAATCGTCGTCCCAGCCTTCGGCGGCCGCGCGGTCGGCCTGCCGCGCGCGGATCGTGTCAACAAGCTGGATAAACGCCGCCACATCCTCAGCCGTGGGCGGAACCTTGGAGACGGTCGGGAACTTGTGATAGTGGATACCTGCGCGCTCGAGGCCTTGAGCGTCGTACACGGGCTGGTCCTTGGAAATGTCAATCACGTCCTTGACAACGCTGCTCCACTGGGCGGTGAACCTCGACGGGCTGTGGACGTCGTCAGCCTCACGCAGCGTCTTCATGGCGCGGAAGACGGGTGTGCCGCCAGGCGGGCCAATAGGAGCGGACACGGGAATGACAGACTGCCACTTGACGAGGTTTTTGACGTCCCACTTGCCTTCCTGGCTGAGATACTGCAGCTGCCAGGCGAGCGAGAGGCGGCCGGTGATATTCTTGGCGAGAAAATCGGCAATGAGACCGGCGAGGATGCGCGATCCGCGCGGAGCGTAGAGGAGCGTGTGGTTGGCCGGCGCAGGGATGATGATGGACTGGACTACCTTGGCCGGATGCTCGGGCTGTGGCGGGATAGCCGTAACTGATTCGGGGGGTGTCCATGGATCGTGGCGCGAGTCGTCTGTACTGGAGTCTGATGTGGCTGCCGCGAAATCTTCTTCTGTGATATTAACAATGGAGCGGGAGAGGTCGTGATCGTCGGGCTGCAGTCTTGCGCCGACCGGCTCAGCAACCTTGCTAACATGCTCTACCGGCGTCTGTGTA